GCCTGGCTAATTTTTTTTTTGATTTATTGTAGAGATGAGGTCTTGCCTGCCCAGGGGGGTCTCGAACCCGCGGGCTCAGGCAATCCACTCACCTCAGCCTCCCAAAGGCGCGGGATTACAGGTTGAGCCACCGAGCCCGACCTCTTTATACTCTTTCAACAATGTTTTATAGTTTTCAGAGTTTAACTAAGTTTTGCATTTTTCATTAAATTTATTCTTAGTAATTCTTGTGCTGTTGTAAATGTATCTATTGATTTCTTTTTCTGGTTAATTCATCAGTGGTGTAGTCTGTTCCTGGGATACTGCAGTACCAGTCAGTGCATAGAGTGGATGGAGCAAGCTCCTATTCCATCCCCCTGCTCCAAAATCTCTTTAATAGACTGTTCTTAGAGGGGGGGATATATCATAGAGATAACATACTTGATCTCAGTCAAAAAGCCTAGAAGCAATTTGTGTATCTCTATACAACACCACTGATTTTTGTACATTGACTTTTTTCACAATCTTGGTGAACACATTTACTAATCCTAATAGTTTTTTTTTTAGTAGATTCCTTAAGACTTTCTATATATAAGATGACGTCATCTGCAAACAAACGATTTCACTTGTTTCTTTCCAATATGTCTGTGCTTGGAGATTAATTTATTTTTAAGGAGTTTTAAAATTATAAATTCAATTTCCTTAAGGCTTATAGAGCTAGTCCAGTGATCTATTTTATATGGAGGAGTGGTAGTTTATGTTTTTTATGAAAGTGTCCATTTCATGTAAGTTGTCAAGTTTGTGCATGGGGCGCTGTCTGCAGTGTCCCTTCAGCGTCCTTCTGAAGCCTGTGAGATCTGCAGTGAGAGCTCATTTTGTTTCCAACACTGATAATTTGTATCTTCTCTTTTTACTTTGTTGGTCTTGCCAGAAGTCTGTCAATTTTATTAATCTTTTCAAAGAAATAGCTCTATGTCAACTGAATTTTAAAAAGTTTTTTTCCTTTTTCATTGGCACCTGTCCTGTGATGATTTTTTTCTATTCTCTGTTTTCAATACCAACGCATCCTATTCTTCTTTTGATGATTTCTTGCCTTCTACTTCCTTTAGGTTGACTTTGCTCTTCTTTTTCCAGGTTCCTGAGCTGGGAGCTTAGATTGTTGATTTAAGACTTTTCCACTCTCATTCTAATGACTTTTTCCTTGTAAGGCGGTGTTTTTCTCTGGTTCCTTTCAAGACTTTCTCTTTGTCCTTAATTTTCAGAGTTTAATCAGGACAGACCTTGACATGGATTTCTTTGGGCTCATCTTTTTTTGGGGTTCACTCAACTTCTTGATTTGTAAGTTTATTCTTCTTGCCAGACTTGGGAAGCTTTCAGTCATTACTTCCTCAGTCCCATGGTCTTTCTCCTCTACTTCCTAAGCTCTATAGATACAAATGTGAGATGGCTTGATATGGTCCCACAGGTCCTGGGCTCTGTTCACTTCTGGGTTTTTGTCCACTTCGTCTCAGTGGTTCAGATTGGGTAACACCCACCTCTCGCCCTCTAGCTCCCTGGCCCATCGCTCTGTCCCCTCCATTCCACCACTGAGTCCATCCCTGAGCTGATTTTGGTTACTGCATCTTTCCATCTGGTTCTTCCTGATGTCTTCCATTTAGTTCTGTGACTCTGTTCCTTTCCTGAGGCTTTCTATTTTCTCGTGTATTTCACATGTTTGTAATTGCCTGTCAATACTTCCTTAGCATGGCTGCTCTAAAACCCATTAGGTAATCTTAACATCTTTGTCACCTCGATGTTGGCATATATTGATTGTTCTGTTCATCCAGTTTGGGATCTTTCTGATTTTAGTATGACAAATGGTTCTTGATGAATATGTGGACACATCTGAATTACAAGACCCTGAATTTTACTCAAATCTTCTGTTTTACCTAGCTTTGTGGATACCATCCAAGCAGGGGCAGAAGACACAACACCTTATCACTGCCTGGTGAAGGTGGAAGGAACTCCAGCCTTCCCACATGGCCTCCTTGGATACCCAAAGCAGGCAGGGGGTCCTGGTTTCTGCTGGTCAGGGAGGAAGATCCTGCTTCTCACATGGTCCTACTAAGACCATGGTGGGGGGGGTAGGTCTGCTAAGACCACAGTGGGGGGCTCTGTTGAAACCATGGTGGGAACTCTGTTGAGACCACAGCGGGGACTCTGCTGAGACCACAGTGGGGGATTTTTAATTACTACTGGGCGACAGTTCAAGTCCTGACTCTTCACGAAGCCTCCTCTGTCAGGACCCTGACACAACCCAGGCTTCCCATGGGTCACCTGCTGATACCAGAGGAACAGGACCTCCTGAAGAGATTCAAGTCCTGGCTCCCTACTTGGCTTTCTTTGGGGTGAACTTTCAGCCTCACCCCTCGGCCTCCAGAGAGGGGGAGAGCTGTAGTGAGCTCAATCACCAATGGCCCGTGACATCGCCAATCATGTCTCCATCATGAAACCTCCATAAAACCCTGAAGAGTAGGGTGCAAGGCTCTGGGTTGGAGAACACATGGGGCATGGGGAGGGTGGTGTGCCCAAGAGGCCTCTCCCCACACACCTTGCCCTGTGCGCCTCTTCCACTCGGTTGTTTCTGAATGGCATCCTTCATAACAGAGTGGTGAATGTAAGTGCAGTGTTTTCCTGAGTTCTGTGAACCTGAGGAGGGGGTGGTTGGAACTTTGATTCATAGCAGGTCAGTCAGAAGCATGGGGCCCCAGATTTATGACTGATGTCTGTAGTGGGGGCAGGGCAGTCTTGTGGCACTGAGCCCTCGGTGTCCAGAGAGTTGGATGACTGGTTGTCGGGTGAAAACCACACACTTGGTGTCAGAGTGTTGTGGGCAGAAACAGGCTATGATACCATATTCGAGAAAGTAAATAGAATTTCGTCTCTCAGAGTTTATATTTAATTGGGAGGCAGGACAAAAATACACAAAGACATAATTTTTGAAATAAAAGTCAGATAAGCAAAGTTCCAATATTGCAGCAAAGGCAGAGGGAAACGAGCTACAAAATGAGTGAGTAAGAATAACTGGGATCAACATGAGTCCTGAGATCGTCTTGGAGGAAGGAAGAGAACCCAGTAAAGCACAGAAATGGTCACACGATGGCACCACTTGAGAAATACACAGACACACACTCAACCCCCTCATAAGCATTAACACAACATTATTAAGTTTTAAATAGTAAGTGCCCAAAATATCACCTTTCACGTTCCATTTGCCTGAGATGATCATTCTTTATAGCTTCAGTCACTAAGTTAGTATAAGGATCATCCTGGTAATATAAAATTGAAAAAAAAAAGAATAATTCAGAAGTAGACACTTGAATTTCAAGTCAACTTCTCCACTAACTAGGTTTTATAAAATGGAGAGTAAATTAATCCTTCTCAATTATTTTCTCTTATGTAAAGGAGAACTTTTTTTATTTTCCCGATTACTGACCACATTCTTCACTGAACTATCCTAGGTTCTAAGAAGCTAATAAAAGGGTCAGGCTGGAAAGATTAGTACCAAGTATACAAAGCTCTGGTTGCTAGTACAAATATGTGACACTATAATTCTAAACTCAAATATAAATGCTTTAATGATTATCAACTGCTTAGTATTATCTAGATCTCTACTCCCCATTAAGAACACTGGTGATTTTTTACAACATGTATTACTTTTTCTCAATATAAAAAAAAAATGTAATAATTAACATTTATCCAGCATTTAACTCTGTTCTGGGTATTGTTTTAAGCACTTCTCACCCATTCCCTCCCTTAATCCTCACAACCCTACAAGGCAGGCTATTTTAGTTGGTCCTATCTCAGACATAAAGAAACAGAGGTGCAAGGAGAGGAGAGCTGAAGCAGGGGCCGGGCCTCTGGCGTAAGAGCCCACACTCTCCAGCCACTGTACTGCAGCACCCTGATAATCCATTAAGAAACTCTATGGAGCTCAATGCCATTAGAATGAAAATACACTATTTTTATCTATAAATAGAGGTAATTTCATATGGCTTTACTTAATATAAGATAATACAGTATATCAATATTTTATGTGTAAAAATCTGGAAAATAATTTAAACCCATTGGGAAGAAAAACCATCTCATGGTTCAGAAACTACTGCTTCTATTTTGGTGTAAAGTCTTCCAGTTTGTGTTCACGTATAGGTGTCTATCTATATTTTTCATGTACCATTAAATAACATCTCCCTGGGTCTCTGAAAATAAGACACGATAGCTGCATTATATTCCACTCCATGAATAAGGATCAGGAATGCCTCTATTTCACTCTTGGTATATTTAGTACAGATGACTGTGGTTCCTTCTGCTCAACAATAATGCTTAAGAGAGCAAAACATAATTTGAGGATTCCTTAGTCAAGATATTACCCTTAATGAATGACAGGGAATTTTATTTTTAAAAAGATTCTACTTTTGTTTGTTTGTTTGTTTTGGGTTTTTTTTGAGCTGGAGTCTCACTCTGTCGCTCAGACTGGAGTGCAGTGGCCATTCCCAGCCACCGCAGCCTCGACCAACTGGGCTCTGGCAATCCTTCCGCCTCAGCCTTCCGAGTAGCTAGATTCTACTTTTTTAAAACTAAAATTGTGCAGTCTGTTTTAACCATAATCTCTATCCCATTTCAATACAGAATTCCTAATTCTGAAGCTAACTTAAACAAACAAATGAAATATAGCAATCATAAAACACACTGATAGGCCTGGGAAAAACCTAGGACATCATCTACTCCAACTCCCTAATCTGAAGACAGAAAAGCACAGACAACTGGTGGTGGCTGCAGAACTGTCTTTTCATACTCACGCTTGGTGAAATGTATTTATCATCCTCATCGATTTCCAACGGAACAGCAAGCAGTTTCTGGAATGCCTTCTTCATCTTTTCTCGGTCTCCAACGGCAAAGTAACAGATGGTCAGGTTGTAGCCTGCCTTCAGATTCGGTGCCATGCTCATTATGTGCTCGAATGAGTTAATGGCATCTGAATACTGGCCAGCCTGGATAAATGTAATGCCAATATTCTGCATTATTTTAATCCTAAAAAACAAAGAACATGGATTAGCTTTAAAATTCCAAACTCTTCAGTATGGCATTCAAGTCATTCCACATATGCAGTTTTTCCCTTCTCACTGTACTTCCTTTTTGTTTTGCTAAAGCTTTACTGATAAGGGCTTATATACATACCATAACAGTCATGTGTTTTTAGGTTGATGATTCAAAAATTACTGCTGTATCTACACAGTTGTGGAACTGTAATTACATCCTTATTTTAAGTCATTACCATCACCCTAAAAAGGAAACCTGTGCCCATCAACAGTCACTCCCCTTTTTTTTTTTTTTTGAGTTGGAGTCTCACTCTGTCACCCAGACTGGAGTGCGGTGGCCGCTCCCGGCCACCACAGCCTTGACCTGCTGGGTTCCGGCGATCCTTCCGCCTCAGCCTTCCGAGTAGCCGGAACTACAGGCGCACGCTACCACACCTGGCTAATTTTTTGATTTTATTGTAGAGATGAGGTCTCGCCTGCCCAGGCAGGTCTCGAATCCGCAGGCTCAGGCAATCCACTCACCTCGGCCTCCCAAAGGCGCGGGATTACAGGCTGAGCCACCGAGCCCGGCTGTCACTCCCCTTCTTGCCTCCAGCCCGAGGCAGTCACTCATCTATTTATCACCATCGTTTCTAGACACTGCATACAGGTGGCATCACACAATTTGTGAGATTTTGTCTCATCTCTTTTTCTTAGCAAAATCGCCTTGAGGTTCCTCCATACTGCAGCATGTATCAGTGCTTCATTCCACCCCCGACTTTTTTTTTTGCCAAATAACATTCCACAGTATGGATAGATACCATACTTTATTAATACATTGCCTATCTGACAGATACTGGGGTTGTTTCCACTTTTTGGCTATTATGAGTAATTCTATTTTGAACATTCCTGTACAACCCTTTGTGGCAACATGTTTTCATTTTTCTTTGGTATGTACTCAAAAGTGGAATGGTTGAGCATAAGGTAAATTTGTGTTCTAAGAAACTGCCTAATTGTTTTCCAAAGCAGCTGTTCTATTTCATATCTCCAGTGAATGAAGTTTCCAACTGTCTATCTTTTTGCTTAGAGCACACCAGTGGGTGTGATCCCACTGTGTTTCTAACCACTCCTCAACAGAATCCCTTTATCTCAGCTAAACCAGTGTATTCATCATTCTCTGACCAGATCATGACATGCTAGTTTCCCTTGATAGTAGCACGTCTCTCCTCTCCACTTAAGTAGACTATTTCCAGCACTCTTCCTTCACATAGCCTTTCTTGACCATTCCTGTTTTATATTACGATTCCCTTGGCTGAACCCTTACAGCATCCACTGTCTCAATTATTGATTATTGTGTGTTTAATACATGCTACCTAATATCAATATCTCTTTATAAAATGCTAAAATGCTTGGCCTCACCTGGATTAAGAGTACCTCAAGGGCACTGTGTTCTATAAGCTAGATAATATTGTCTGATGATAAGATATCATGTAAAATTAAAAAACAAATGCCATGAAAGGTGGTATAAATTAGCTCTCAGAGAGAAACTGTGCTGTCTGTAGGGGAAACTGTTACCAGGGAATACCCTGGAAACCTCCTTTGTCCCCTTGGTGATAACTAGAACTTAAGGTAACTGATTCTGCTCCTATATATTGTAAGCATAGAGAACATCCCAACTTCCTCCTTCTAAGATTCATAAGTAATCCCCTCCTCTCACTATTTCGCTCTCAAGATACAGCAAGAATGCAAAGGATCTCCATCTGCAGCCTTGCATTCCAGTCTGATGTGCTTTGGAGGTCTGTTACTAGGGTTCTGTGTCAGCACAAGGTTGTGTCATGGAACTGAGGGCCTGCAGGATCAATTCCTCTATTGGTCAATTACCTCAATGCCTTTAAGCTTTAGCTTGTCATTATAGAAATGTGTGCAAGCAGCAAAAAGGGAAGAGATCACAATACTACTCAAAGAACATAAACCTAATATCTCTCCTCTATAAACACTTCAAAATGTTCAACCCACTGAAGATGGATTAGAAGAGTTACCTTGCTTCCAGAAAACAACACTTAAATTTTACAGTTATTGTGTTATAAACTTACCTCATGTCTTTATGCACACTTGGAACTTGATCTAATGCCATTCGGTAGAATTTAATGGCTTTGGAGTAATTTCTTTGCTTTAAGTAAATATTTCCCATATTCACTTTCAATATTCCTAATTAAAAAAAAAAAATCATGAATGTATCATGTTTTCATTTTTTCTATATTTTAGATGACTTCAATTCATATTCTCTGAAAATTTTATCAAGTTATGACACTTGACATGCTACCTAAAATTCTACTTTAAAACAGCTATTCTATTTTCAAACTAATATTCTACTTTAAAACAGCTATGCTATTTCTCTATGAAAAAATGGAACTTAGATTCCTAAAACTACAGCTGGAAAACAACTGATTTACATTATAAAACAGAGGTGTATTTTTCTAAGAAAAACATGAGACAAAAAATATGACATTTAAAAATTAGACTCAATAATCCACACACATTTCAATACACATTAAAGGAAATGATATTCTAATAACATGAATACTGCTACCAAAAAGTTACACAGCATAAATGCTAAATATCAACTGTAGTCTCCTGGGGATAAATGCATATCAGGGAGAGCATGTTCCATGGGGTAGCTATAGCTCACTCTACTTGCGGTAACAGAACTTCTGTTCACTTTTCAGCAGTATACTCATCCCAACTATATTTCTCCACTTGTATGAATTTCATTATAAATAGTATCTTTAAGCAGGACATACCTTTCGTTAAATACAAATGTGTTTAGAGCACAGATTATTTACTTTAACGAACTATAAAATGAGGAGATGTAAATTAACACTACAAAACAATACCTATTGGAAAAACTGATTATACACACTTACCTGCATTGCTAAACATCTTATTTTTCACTATGACTTGATATGTGTTAAGTGCTTCAGTATACATTTCATTAGCTGAATACTGACTAGCCAGGTTGAAAAGAACCTAGGAAGGAAAATATTACAGAAAAGACACATAATGGCCATTGTAGGCTCCTTTTACCTACAATCTTGGCAAAGATTAAAGTCCTATAACATAGCTGCTAATATCAAGATGCCCAATCAATCAGGAAATTAGGTAAACAAAAGAAATATCTTGCAATTCAAATAAATGGGAACATTAAGACAGGGAGACTGTCCTCTAAGCTTCACCTTAACTTTCTGTGCATTCTATTTAACTTAGTGGCATTTACCATCTATTAATCTCTGGAAGACCTATGAAAAATAAATATGTATCATTAATACTGCTGGTGATAGAAGAAATAAGTAAGATAGTGGACTAAATTCTCTTTGTAAATTATAAATTAAATACCGTGTGAAAATATCTTAAAACTTAAAGTCTAGCAGAAAAGAATTTGTACAGTAAGAGCTCTATATACTATGTTATTAATGCAATTTAAGTCACTGACTTATAATAAATTATGTTCCCAGAGGTAAAAAACAATCATCATAAATTATCCCAGAAAGATTTCATGGAATTTTATGATATTAGCTGTAAACAGTAAACATCTAACATTTTAAAGTTTCTAATGCTCTTTTTGTTCATCTGTTTAGTATATGAAGGTTCTACCCACTGAAAATAGACCCTTTTAAACAGTAGTGTAAACATTAAGGAAGTGACTTTTCAGAATTAAAGAAATTTTGCTATAAACTAGAGACATTTGCTTTTTCCCCCACTGCCCTCATAGAATATTATCTCTTTTGCCTAGTTTGAAGTCCTTAAAAGTCACTGTCCCAAAAGCTGTATTACAGTTTCATCAAAATAACCACCCTGGGTAGAGCATAAATATGAAAATCACTGCCCCAAAGGCTATATTAAATAACTAATGAAATAATTAATTAATAAACTAATTAAGAGTGCTTTGCACAAACCAAAGACAAGTGTCTCATGATTATTAATCTAATTGTAGGCACCTCAGAACCAAAAAGATCTAAAAAATAAAAGTAAACAAGAAAGAAAAGGCTCTGGAATCCACAAATCCTATCCAAAGGAGCTTTACTCCACAGGCATTTCAATACTTACTGAGTAAGTTAAATCCAGGTTGATATTTTCCGGAGTTGTGACCTGCTCTCGTTGTCTCACCAGGACTCTCTCCTTCCTTCCTGCATCTTTTGCCCTCTCTAAGGCCTGAAATCAAATTGAGACTATCAGTTCCTATGAGCGCTACCACCTTTCACCACCTAAAGAGCATCAGCGTGACACCTGGCTGAATTCGCTGTCTACCTCAAACTCCCCAGGATGCCCTCAGTGTGCTCACCACACACTTCCCTTGAAATCATGAGCCGAGAGCATGTGTTCACACTGGCACTCGCCAGCAGGGAAGTGTCTGTGGTTTTCTAGGAACGAAGGGGAAAGATAAGGAATCAGACATGGCGCACACTGGTCCCAGCCCGGTGTCTTCATCACACAGCTTCCAGCACCCTGAGGGCTGCCCATGCCTACCTACCCTTTTTTCCTCCCAACTCCTGAATCTTTGGGTATTTTAATTTGGTCTTGTGTGGCAGGAACTTAGATGGATTTTGTGTGACTTCTGATATGTTCAAAATAGAGACAAGCCGGGCTCGGTGGCTCAGCCTGTAATCCCACGCTTTAGGGAGGCTGAGGTGAGTGGGTTGGCTGAGCCCGTGGGTTCGAGATCCCCCCGGGCAACTTGGCCAGACCTCATCTCTACAATAAATCAAAAAATTAGCTGGGCATGGTAGTGAGCACCTGTAGTTCCAGCTACTTGGAAGGCTGAGGCGGAAGGATCGCTGGAGCCCAGCAGGTTGAGGCCGTGGTGGCTGGGAGCATGCTACTGCACTCCAGTCTGGGCGACAGAGTGAGACTCCAACTCAAACAAAACAAAACAAAACAAAACAAACAAAAAAACCCCAAAATACAGACAAGTCCAAGGGTAACTGCTGCCCACATAACAATGGCGCTTGGCTTAGCTCACACCCGACTCAGAGGTCAAGAGCCTTCCACTGACCCCTGAGTCCAGCCACAGACAAACTCCCTGCAGGACTATGCTTTTTTAGAACTACAGAACAAGCACTAGTTCTGAGAGCAATAAAAGTAGCCTTTCACACTGGGCATCTCTCTCTGTAACTAAATCACAGAAATTACATGCATATGGCATGACAACAAAGGTAATGTGAGCAAGGCAAATTAAAGACAGGATTTAAAACAGCAGAGTTGGAGTCTCAAAAAGCACACTATTATTTTTAGTTTACTCAAAAAAACTACTTCAGGGCAGAGAGACTTCACTAAGAAAGCAGCCCTCCGTTTTGGGTGTGGGCGTGGCCTGCGGTGGCAACACCTTTGGGCAGCATATTGGCATCTAATCCAGTCGTCCACCAGGTGGCAAAACTAAGTCAACAGCATGCTGGAATCTTTCCCTGCTGAAAAGACCAATGGCAACAATGACAAACTCAGACATCAGAACTTATGCTCTGACATCAGAACTTATGAAGCAGAGTTACAATTGCCGGGTCTCAAAATAATTGCTTCTTATATTAAAACCAGTCAATGGTAAAACCAAAATACATATCTACACTATATGTGTGTGTGCAGAAAGACAGATACAGACACCTACACATATCATCATCTTGAATCTATGATTTCATGGACTTACCAATTTTAAGTCTCCACAACTGTTAGCAATACAGCTTTCTTCTACCAACTCATTTACTTCTCTCTCTAATTGCTTTATCTTTTCTTCTGGACTATTAAGGAAAAAAAGTAGGGGTCATTTAAATCATTCAACCACTAATAATCTATGCTAAAATCTAATTTACTTTAGACATTGCCTATTAAGTGCTACTAAAACTTTTAACAACAGGCCACAGATAAGACAAATGTATACAGGTATTAAAGAGCAAGTCACTACTGTTTTTAATAATTACATCATGTAATTATTTGTAGTAATAGTTTAAAAAGCAAAAACAGATACCATTTATTTAGTACAAGAGTAATTTAACACTGAGCTATTTTATTTAATAATATTGGACAGAAGTACTATAAATATTCCCATTTTACTGGTGGGGAAACTGAAGTTACAAAGTTAAGTATTAGCTAGGTGCGGTGGCTCACGCCTGTCATCCTGGCACTTTGGGAGGCTGAGTTGAGAGGCTTGCCTGAGTCCAGAGGTTCAAGATCGGCCTGGGCAACTTGGCAAGACCTCGTCTCTACAATAAAACAAAAAATTTGCTAGGCTTGGTGGCACGTGCCTATGGTTCTGGCTGCTTAGAAGGCTGAGGCAGAAGGATCACCTGAGCCCAGCAGGTCGAGGATGCAGTGCTCTTGAGCACACCACTGCACTCCATCCTGGGTGACAGAGTCAGACTCCAACTCAAAAAAAAGAAAAAAAAAAGTTAAGTGTTACACCTAGGATCACATAGCCAGTAAGTTATAAACCCAGAATTTACCCAAACTAGGGTCCTCTAGGACCCACATTATTACATTACCACCTCAAGAAGGAACCAGATTTCTTTCTTTCAGATTCTATGGCAAATGAAAACTTTTGCAAGGAAAAATGAAGCCCTCATAAAAGAGATAAAAAATTATTTACTAACAGAAAGATACTGTGGAGATAATATATTTTTTTTTTTTTTTTGAGACTAAGTCCCACTATGTTGCCCAGACTAGAATGTGGTGGCAATTTATAGGGGCAGTCATAGCATACCGCAGCCTTGAACTCTTGGGCTCATGACCCTCCTGCCTCAGTCTCTCTAGTAGCTAGAAACCACAGGCATGCACCACTCTCCCTGAACACAGAGAACGTTTCTAACAAGGTGAGACATTTAAACATTCTGGTTCCATTAATAGCAAGTCAAGTATCCCCAAATCAGTCACCTTTTAAAGCAGCATTACCGCTGTTTTGCTACCATTTTCTTCCAGCAGCATTTCATGATACTCTGAAAGTACATCAATGCCTAACTAAAACTTTACTACAACTATACTGGAGTAGCCAGTAATTCTCTTGCTTCTCTACAGATGGACTCTATAAAATCATATTCTTTGGAGAAATCGGTACTAAAACTACCATTTTTTTCATTTCAATGGCTTTGAGGGGTACACATTGTTTTGGGGACATGGCTGCATTGTGTAGGAGTGAAGAAGTCTGGACTTTGAGTATACCTGCTACCCCCACCTGTGCACTGATGGGTGATTTTCCATCCCTCCACCCCTTGCCCCAATCTCCAGTGTCCATTATACCATTCTCTATGCCTTTGTAGACCCTCAGTTTAGCTCCTGCTTACAAGTGAGAACACGTGGTGTTTGGTTTTCTGTTCCTGTGTTAAGACCACACATTTTATTAGTTTATAAAAATCTGTAAAATCCTAAGTGAGCAGTGGGCACAACAGATGGCAGTTTTATAAAGGTGACATGAAGCACAGAATTCTATTTTTGAGTTGTCTGAAACACTCTAATACACATCTTAAATGCTGCTTACAGATTCATTATTAAACCTAAAATACCAGCATAAATGTTAACAGTGAAAACTCTGTAAGAGAACCTCAACATAGCTACCCTGTCCCTGTCCAATGCCAGGAAGATGCAGGCCATGGCTGCTGCTGGCTCCTGCCCACACAGAGCCTCCTCTGCACATGGACTTTGAACCTGTCGGGGATCCCGTCCCTCGGCCAAGTGTCAGGGCACCAGGAAACAGGCTGCGACCCTCACTGAGACAAAGGCATATCTGCTTGGAGCAGAAAGACTCTTGTTTTTTCAAAGGCAACCAAGGGGAGGGACATCCTGCCTCTGGATTCACCAACCACATCTTGGCATCAGGACGATGCATAGGCTTTTGGGAAAAGCCAGCAGAAGTCAAGAGAAGCTGGGCCAGGGATAATGCCACTGAGCAGCTAAATGAACCATCCCCAGAACCACCCTTCCTCCAGACTTCCTACTATGTGAGATGATAAATGTTCCTATTGATTGCGTGTCTTTTTTGATGCACCTTCTGTTGTTAGCAGTCCAAAAGATCCCAAATGACATAATATTTAAATAAAAGAACATGCTTTTATGAGCAAACATGCTGCTATTAATTAGAATGCAAAATAAACTGATTTTCCATAGAGTTTCCTTGCCAGTCAAAAAGGGAAATTATGTGATGTACACAAAAGTCTAAATACTGGGTTTAAGAATTACAATTTTAAAACATATATAGAAATAAAACAGTGCAACGCTAGCTAACAGCATGAGCTCTGTCACTAGACACACTGGGCCTTGACAGGCTCAGCTCTCTGGGCTTCAGTCCCCTCTCCAAGAACTCATGACAAGGCAATCGCTCCGTCTTCACAGTGAGAGCATATGGGCTGCTGCTGATGCACAGCAAGGGCACAGTCAACATCAGCCTCTTTTACTATTTTAAAATGTAGATATCAAGGGACTTGGACACCAGCAGATGTATATAACTGAATGGATAGCCACTAGTACAAAGTGAAGTTAATTCTATAAAAATAAGTGTCTCAATAATATGACAAACTAACTTCTTATGCATTTTCTTAATTTTTTTCTTTGATGTATCCTTCCAAAATATGCATCTCTTACATATCTTATACCATTTATAACACCATTTGGTCTTCAAGAGAATCAGTATTGGCACTGACAAGAATTAGACTATATCTTCAAATCAAATAATAATATAATAAGATTGCACAAAACATACATGGCTACTCTTCTTGGTTTTTTAGTTCCAACAACTAGGAGTGATGTATCATGCTGACACGAACTTTTAAAAGACTTCAGAATTATGTATTTGGAAAATAAAAATAAAATGTATGCAGCAACAACAAACAGCAGCAGAAGGACTTGCATACCTGTCTTCTGGTTTGGCTTCCAAGGGAGGAGCAGGGCCCCTGGACTGACCAAGGGGGTCAAACGCAGAGCCTAAGACACAAGCCAAGAGTTCAGCAAAACTGAGGACAGTAGGAAATTTGGCACAAGTTATTTCATCTACCTACCTATTAAATGGTTTATATTACCTATTTATTAAATGGAAACAACACTGCATCTATATAAACATTTTATATACTGGAACACTGGCAAGATTTTTAGCATACATAAAGCTATGTAAATACACTTATGTGTAAAAACAAATATAAAAACAAAAGTAAGATACTCTTTTGGCACCTACTCTCTCCCTAACAGTGATTGATACATATTAGGAACTATAAATTATCAATCACGTGACTTATAACCTGGTACTGGAGTTTTAGTTTTCCTTATTGGTATACCAAACATTAATTGTTATCATAACTTTACTTTTAAATTATCATTTATCATTATACTGTTTCCACCTTTCATTTTTTAACTGAGCTCTAACTTACATAAAACAAAACAAGTCTATCTTAATGTATAGGTCAATGCATCCTGACAAATGACATAACAGTATAATAACCACCTGAGATGCAGACGGTTTTCACCACCCCTTTCCTTTTTTTTTTTTTTTTTCTTTTTTGAGTTGGAGTCTCACTCTGTCGCCCAGACTGGAGTGCAGTGGCCACTCCCGGCCACCGCAGCCTTGACCTGCTGGGCTCCGGCGATCCTTCCGCCTCAGCCTTCCGAGTAGCCGGAATTACAGGCGCGCGCTACCACGCCCGGCTGATTGTTTGATTTATTGTAGAGATGAGGTCTTGCTGCCCAGGCGGGTCTCGAATCCGCGGGCTCAGGCAATCCACTCACCTCAGCCTCCCAAAGGCGCGGGATTACAGGCTGAGCCACCGAGCCCGGCTCCCCTTTCCTTTTTTAATGGTACTTAAAATAATGGTGCAACTTACAGTCAATGGCATGTTAGATATCATTGAAAATGGCAGTCATACTTATACTCACAGAACAGTAAAAAAATTAAAAGATCTGAAAGAGATTATTAGCAGAGACAGGAGAACAAACCTCTTAAAGCTGCTCTGGTGAAGCCAGCTGCTCTCACCGCCGTCATGGGTCTAGCAACTCCATCCTTCAAGGAACAGGAATCATTTGAAAAGCTTTCTTAAATAAGCTCTACTTCCTACTTACAGCTCTGTACATGACACATCCCTTACTACAGCCTCTACTTTCAATGTTGCTTTCTTAGCACCATCTGCTTTTATCACTATCTGATCACTCCTTATTTCTACTGCCTCATGTATCGATCTTATCCTCTCCTTCCTCCTCCCCTATAAACTTCGATTCCTTGGTCTAGCTGGCTTACCTCCATCTGAAAAGCAAAGCGAACTAGGATGTTAGCTCCTGCAGGCCTCTGGGAGAAACCACAGACACTGCTGTAGATGGCAGCAGGGGAAACAGGTCCCAGAGGACATCATATAAGCAAACCACTGTTCTAGGGTCACTCCTTAGTGGGATTTCACTGGACACTTGAGTAAATAAATCCCAAAGACCTTGCCTCTGAAGATTTAGAACAGTCCAACCTTTAGCACACAATGTAAAGAATCGGTGTCACTATATAAGCAACATCTCCTTCAACATTTAAAAACAACACAATAAAGGACAAAAAATTTTGGTACTAAATTCCAAGTCACAAGAAAAGCACAAAGAGAACAACCATACGACAGAGTTACCTGAACAGCCCCTGTCATCGGTCTTCCCATGGATGATGCCAGAGACGTCTTGGACTGGCAAACAGAAAAGTAAGTTAAAAGAATTTCCTAAGACATTGACCTTTATGTTTACAAGCCAAGCTGTAGAAGTGTTCTTTCATCACCTTGTCTTCACAACCTCAGCAAGTACACCACCATCTTTAACTTGCGCCACTCGAGGTTATCAGGTCAAGCTGTGAAGCTCTACAGAAGACAGCAGACCTCGACCTTGGTTTCTGTAATTAAGCTTTGCTGGAGCAGAGCCATCGCGCCCCCTGCACACGGTCTAGGCCACGTCTGCATCACCAGTATGGGCTGGACAGCGGCAACAGACCCGCGCCTATGGAGCCAAAGTACCCAGCCCGGCATGGAAGATCTGTTGTCCTCGAGTCTACCCACCTCCACAAATCAGTCATGAGCAACATGTGCTCAGGCTGATGAATGGAAGCAAACTCACATGATACACAGTTGTATACGCAGAGGCTGCCTTTCCCTTACCCACGTCAGGGGCTACTTTACATGTGTGGGATGTCGATTACATATACATAAATACATTAAACATATGTTTATACAAGTGCTGGGACTTCCAGGTTATGGAACCCTTCTACTGATCCTAAGAAGCTTCTATATCCTAAGGACTAGGAAACCCTATTCCACCTCACTCTTTCTCTTTTCTCGTTCCTTGATTCTTTCCCATAAACTAAAACATACAAGTCGTAGGTAGCTTGGACAAGATTAGGAGGTTTATTACTTTTGTGAAGTTTCACATAGTATCTTTCTTCTAAAAGTCTCTAATGTAAGACCCAAGTATACACCCCGAAACACTTTCTTTAAATTGTATTCTTAGTTAATAAGTTTTTTACAGTGATAAACACTATTACATTTATATAACATCTAACATAACATAAAACATATGAATGAAATACAGGAGACTTGGTTATATTATATAGAAAATGAAGTCAATCAACAAACACATTTACAAATGGAAAAACATAGATATTTCCTTATGTATTTACAAGTCAAAAGACCAGACTATTCAAAGTATACTTTTGTAAAGTTCACAACTATCCAAACTAGAAAATATATGAGTCACGAACTGAAAGATATTCGAGGCTATTTAGAACTGTCTAAAGTACACTTACATATGAGGAAAAGCATCTTAATATTTCAGCTTGCAAACACCTACCCCATATCCAGTAGCTATGGGCCTAGTAACTGCCGTGGTTGGTATTTTAGCAGTTATCTTAGGGAGGAAAAAGAACATTGTTAACAGGATGCAAATTCAGCTATATATAAGAAAACTGAAAAAACATGGAAAATATAGACTCATCAATAAAGAAATATGTCCATAATATTTAGAATGATTTCTTTTAAATGATCTGAAATAGTAGGGCACTCAGGTATTTTAAGTATTTGAGGAGACTCACTCTGGAACTCATTTTAAAGGAAAAAGAGGACTTCAGAATGATCCAAGGGGCCAATTAGAAAGACGTGTCTTCATGTTTGCATCAGTCATGCTTTAAATACTGACTACAGACGTGTTACTGCCAGTCATGAGGTCATACAACAGGCAAAGAACTGGAGTCTGAGAACTGGGTTTTGAAACTCAACTCTCCGCCGACTAGTTATGCCCATTTAATCTTTTTAAACCTAAATTTCTCATCTGTTAAACAAGGATACAAAGTATACTGATCACAAAACTACAGTTAGAACTAAACAGGACCAGGTACATGAAAGTACACTACACATGCTAGTTAGTAGGCAGATTGGTTCAAAACCTTTGATTAAAAATATCACTCATGGGGGAGTTCTGCCTCTGGCTATGGTAGAACGCTACTTTTAAAAACCTTCCTCCAAAGAACAATTTAAAAAGATGGGGACAAAAATATTTTTTAAAAATTAAATTTAGCCGGGCTAGGTGTGAAAAGTTTTAGAGATAATTTATGGTACTCTATCTACGCTATTCAGTATGAGGGTCACTAGCCACATGTCAGCCTGTAATCCTTTGCTTTGGGAGGCTGAGGTAAGTGGACTGCCTGAGCCTGCGGGTTCGAGACCCGCCCGGGCAACTTGGTGAGACCTAATCTCTACAATAAATCAAAAAATTGGCCGGGCATGGTAGCACGCGCCTGTAGTTCCAGCTACTTGGAAGGCAGAGGTGAAAGGATCTCTGGAGCCCGGCAGGTCAAGGCTGCGGCGGCCGGGAGCAGCCACTGCGCTCCAGTCTGGGCGACAGAGTGAGACTCCGACTCAAAACAAAAAACAACCAAAAAAATTAAATTTGAATCCGTGAGAGAACCATCAAGACAGGAAAGAGCTGCCGGCTTTCAAGATGAAGGAGGGAAGGCAGGGCTGGAGGGGCTGCTGTGCGGGCCTGGGCTCTTGGAGTACCCGCATCCCCAGCATGGCCAGCAGCCCACAGCCCACAAGAGCCTCAGTGTAGGGGAGTGAGCCGGAGCGGGGGCCTGCCCGGGGAACCCTGGCATCCTCCAGGCTTCAGGTTGCGATCTCAAAGGGTTGCACAAAGCCTTTAAGGTAAACAGAAGCAGGCCAGCTCTCGTGTGGGCTCACGTCTGATCTGGGACCATTTCAGCCCCAACTGCACTCCTAAGTGCTGCTCAGACCCCAAGCGAAAGCAAGTTTTCCCAGGCGAAGGCTCACAGACTCTTCAGGGTTATGCTGCCCACAGGCTGCCTACACGCCCTTTCTGGTGAGACAGTTCCTGGCCACACAGGGCTGCTGACAGCAGGCAGGGCAACAGGGATACAGACTGTTTACTTTAATTTTAAATAATTTAAATGAAAATAGTGACAAGTGGCTAGTGACCCTCATACTGAACAGCGTAGATAGAGTACCATAAATTATCTCTAAAACTTTTCATGTACAAGGTCTGGCATTCAGTAATCAACAACCAGACATACAGGACAGAAGACGACCTAACTAAAAGCCAAGAAAAACAAGAGGTGGGAAAGAGGATAGGAGCTGTGGTCCATGCCTATAACACCAGCACTGTGGGAGGATGGCTAAAGGCCAGGAGTTCGAGACTAGCCTGGGAAACACAGCGAGACGCCATCTCTAGAAAAAAAATCAAAATATTAGCCAAGTGTGGTGCTCACGCCTACACTCCTAGCGACTCAGGAGACGGAGGCAGAAGGATCACTTGAACGCAGAAGTTCAAGGCTGCAGTGAGCTAGGACCGGGCAACAGGTGACCCTGTTTCTAAAAGAACAAAAAAATAATGGAGAGAAACTCAGAAGGGATACATATAATGGAAATATCCTACATAGACATTAACGTAAATATGATTAATATGTTCAACGACCTAAAATGCAAGATTGACAATTTCAGCAAAGAACTGTACACCATAAAAAAGGAATACACGGAAATTCTAGAACTGAAAAACAGCTAAAACTAATTTCAATTTCTAACAGATAGTAAAACATATACTAGACTTTAATAAGTCAATCTAATTAAAATAAGTAAATAATTTAAATAAGTAAAATTAATTTAATTAAAATAGGTATAATTTATACGAGCCTTTAATAAGCTAAAAATGAGTACTGTAATCTTAGAGAAACACTAAAATTTTAACATGTTTGTAAATTATGAAATATACTTCTAAATAAACTATGGGTCAAAGAGGAAACCACCACAGAAATTAGAAAAAATTTTGAATTGAATCATAATAAAATTATTATTAGAGGAAAAGTATGGAAGAAGTTTATACACATGTTAATTTTTTTTTTTTTTTTTTTTTTGAGTTGGAGTCTCACTCTGTCACCCAGACTGGAGTGCAGTGGCACGCTCCCAGCTGGCCACTGCAGCCTCGACCTGCTGGGCTCCGGCGATCCTTCCGCCTCAGCCTTCCGAGTAGCTGGAACTACAGGCACGCGCTACCACACCCGGCTAATTTTTTTTTTTTAATTTATTTTAGAGATGAGGTCTCGCCAAGCTGCTCAGGCGGGTCTCGAACCCGCGGGCTCAGGCAATCCACTCACCTCAGCCTCCCAAAGTGCTGGGATTACAGGCTGAGCCACCAAGCCCAGCTCACATGTTAATTTTGTAGGAAAACAGATGCCTGAATACAAGTGTGAATACACAAAGCTGTTGGGTGAACTTCAGTCATTGTTATCTGCCCTGTTGAAGGAGGTGTTCTGGCTTTCTACAGACTCCAGGTCTTAGAAAGCCGGGAAGGCACGCTGGCAGCAGTGGGAATCTGTCAGGGGAGGGGGGAGGCACACCTCATCAAGGGCACCTGCATACATTTATATATCTAACTTTGAATATACCCATCTTCAAAATAAAAAATTAGTAAAAATTAATAAATAAAAAAAAGAAAGCTGAGAAGAGAGCTGTGGGTCTCTGTGGCTCTTCCATGAGGTGGAGGAAGAGGCCACTGTTCTTGTCTCTGCTCCCCAGTGGTTGCAGCTGCCATTTTGAATTCTGCCAGGCACAGGGCGGCTCCCGTGCCCTCTGCCCTAAGTTACCTTGCACCCTCACCTGCAAGGCCCTTCCTCTCACACCTCAAGGTCAGTCTCAAATCCTATATGCCTTTCATATTCAGCTCTGAAGTATTTCCTACGCAGCTTCTTCTGACTGTCCCAGCTACTGGTAAATGGCTATCTTCGTGGCCCCATAGCAATTCAGACTCTGCTTTACAATAATTCACAATTAATACACGATGTTTTGTAGTATCCATTTATTAAACTGTGTCCATTTAATTCTCCCTCTGAAGACTGCAAGCTTCTTAGGAGCCCCCTAGGATGTTAGCCCTCTTAAGTGAACCCAGGCCCTTTGCTATGAAAACCTTTTTCTCATTTAATAGAACAAGCAGGACATGATGAAAACACTAAGAAGAGGACCAAGAGCCCGAGCTCCAGCCTTGTCACAGCCAGCTGTGAGACCTTGGCTTGCCCAGGCTTCAGCCTCCTCATTCATAAAATCAGGATCTCAGAGAAGCCAGGCTGGCAAATTGCCGCCTGCTATCCGATGCCTGAAATCCAGTAACTAGAGATTGAGTTCACTGATTCACTAAGTTATTCAACAAAGACTTATGGAGTGCCTCCAGCAGACAAGGAAAAGAACGATGAGGACAGTCTGCCTCTCACGAAGCTTCCAGTTTGATCGCTGGCCAAGAGGAACGCAGTGCCAAGGTTCCATTCCATGATGAACACAACCCTAACATGAGTTGGAGAATGTGTAGCAAAGAATTAACTTTACCAAAGAGAGTTCTGCCCTTTGCCACCGGCGACTGAGAGGTGATTGTTATGCTCCCAGAATGTTCTGCTTATAGGAGTGTCTCTGTCTGCTTTGGCTTTGGCCACTGTAGTTCTAACAATGTGAGTACCATGGAGACTCTGGGACACAGGAACTTCTGGAGGGGTTAGCAGAAACCTCCAGGAGGGGTTGGAGACTAATGTGATTGAGCCCCAGTAAAAACCCTAGACACCGGAAGCCCCGGCTGGGAGTCCCTGGTTGGCAATATTCTTTGAGTTCTGTCACACACGGCAGCCAGGAAAAGGGCCTGCCACTTGTTTTCACAGGGAGAGCACAACCAAACACTACGCTTGGACCATTCCTAGATGCCCTGGCATCGCTTCCCTTGGTGGAAGGTAACCATACCCTCACCTTGCAGTAAACTGTGAGTACAGTAGACTTCAGGAAGCCCTGAGACGCCTTCCAGATAAATATCCAACCTGAGGGTGATTCTGGGAACTCCCTGAACTTGCAGAGGGTGTGGGAAGGGGGGTGGTCTCGTGGAGAACTGTGTCCTAGTTCAGCCAAACACATCACAGGGACCCATACTATACTGGCATACACTAGAGATGGGCAAGTTGCTTGCAAGGTCCTTGCCACATTAAATGGCTTAGCACTGATAATTTATTTTTGCAGTAAGTCTGTGTGGCAGAAAGAAGGAGAAAGTGACCAAGGGAGAGAAGGTAAAGGCAGGGGACACATCATCTAAGGCAGAGTAGTGGGGCTGGATTCTCTTCATTCTCATAGGCTGGCCTGTGCACAACAGAATATTGAGCAGCATTGCTGACTGCTACCAACTAGATGCCAGGAGCCCCACTTCAGCTGTGACAACCAAAAACATCTCCGGGCAATGCCAATTGTCCCTGGAGGGGCACAACTGACTCCAGCCGAGAGCCACTGCTGTAGTCTTGGATGGATGGGTGGGCAGAAGGGGCTTCTTTTTTTTTGAGTTGGAGTCTCACTCCATCACCCAGGCTGGAGTGCAGT